TTCTAAATCTCATGATTATGAACAGAAGTATTTTCCCACTATCAAATATTTTTAATAAAATAAAAATCTAATCCACAGAAGCAAGTGACAATTCTGGAGGAAGTGGGGCAAGTTTGTAAAAAGTTATAAATGTAGTATAAATAATTTTATTATTTCATAGTCTTGATTTCTGTAGAATGGAAAACCTAATAAGCATGGAAAAATAAATGTCTCATTAAATATCCCCAGATTTATCCTTGGATCCAAGCTTATTTTTTGGATTATGTAACAAAGAAAGGTCTTAAGTTCTACTATATTCGTGTTCTTTGCACATCATTTTTCAGAAAATGTTATAAATTGAGCTGTTGATTATGACATACTTGCTTTTATTGTGGGGATTCCCCTCCCCGCTCTCTCCCAACACACACCCACTACATCATGTATTATGGTCAAACATAAAGTAACTTAAATATTTCTCTAAGTCTTTAACATTAACTTAATAGTGCTTTCAGGCTATTACAGCCCCAAATCTGGTATTTGTGCCATACTCAAATGAGAGCTCTTCCTTTCATATTATTTTTGCTGTCTTTCTTAAATAGTGTAGAGTAACTGAAGAACTTGCTCTTACTTGAGGCGTTGCATAAATGCTTTATGTTGATTGGTTTATTCCTTTCAAGCTTCTTGATAATTAAGTTATTGGTTAATTCTTAATCCTCTTACTAAAATTTCTTCTGGAAATATGTTTGTATTGGTACAAATTACATCTTTTATATTGTTGAGATAATTAGGTCTGGGAAAATAAAGAAATATTGAGGGTTTAAGGTATTCTGATTGTTACTTGGTAACTCTAAATAGGTATCTGAACTATTTTTATTAGAAAATTGTGAGAGCTTTAAATGGCAGTGATTAAATTTTTATCTCTTAACAAAATTCATAGTTTTGACTTTAAGAACTTTGAGTTGAAAGGGAGCATTAAATTAATCTTCCTTAATTTAAAATCCATTTAATAGATTGGTTGTATCCTAATAAAAAATGTATTACCATTGTATAATGGCAAACAAGAAACATTTTATGAAATCAAACAGAAAACAGTCAAAATAAATGCTCTGAAGGTTTTTTTTGAAATTAAAATTGAAATACAAAGGTAGAAGACTGGACAATCTGATTTGCTTTGCTTATTTGCAACACCATTTGACGAATTTTAAATTTAAATGATTAATTAAATTATGTTGCAACAGAAAACTTTAAGAGCTCTTTATGTAACTTAATACAATGCTATTTGAGATTGCCAGCAAACTCTTAAAACTCCTGGACACTGGCTTTCCTCTCTTCTGGCTTCCCTCCTAGTCATGTCTTGGCTACTGTCCAGAGCTGACAACTTTCACCCAGGAGCACAGGGAGATTTGTCTAGGATAAGAAGGATTTTTGAGCCATCCTACATTTTCACATCCAGATGGGCAAGGAGGAGGGGGCCAGTATCATTGTACATACTTGGGTGATGTCATTATACCATACATACACCATAAGCATTAATTTACCCAGATTGGTGAATTCTGAATGTCCTTACTGAAATGTTCCATATTGGAAACTGTATTGTAACAACTTCAAAATTAATGCAAAGATTATGTTCAAATTTAAATAATTGATGTATGAATACCTCTACTTGTCCATTTCTATCTATTAATGTACCGAAGACCAAAGGGGTTTTACATCTTGGCTAATAACATAAAAACACTTCGAATCTGTTAAGATGAGAATGTGGATGTTCCCAGATTCAAGGCCTGTCCTCAGATCATTATGCTAAAGCTTTCTGAACACTGCTGGTTATATTATGACAATTTATTATCCATAGTGTATTCCTGCTAAAGTGAATTGTGATTATTATGCTTTTATGGGTTTTTTCAGCTGTTAATTTTAGATTCTTCTAAGTAAATTCACCTGCTTTTATCTAAAAGACTGTTTAGTATTAATATTATTATTTGAAAGACCTTTTGACAAGAATGGTTTTAAGGTAAGATTACATCAATAGATCATATTCGTTATGAAGCTTGGAGGTGCAGAAGTAATCTGTAACAATTTTTTTAACTTTTTAAAACACATGTAAGTTTATAAGGCCAAATGTCTTTTATGCTCCTACACATAACTAGGAGGTTGAATAAGTTTATAGTAAATACAAGCATTTTCTCAGTCAGAACCTTAGATGTTATTCTTATATAATTTCCATTGCTTTTTATTCTATAAGTGTTTTTCAGATATCCCCACAACTTTCACAATTAATCTGGGCTGCCACATTATGCAAACAATTTTGCAAAATAAATGTGCAGAAAGCAGTAAGATCACTGTGAAACTATATAACTAATTTTGTGGTAATAGTATGATTAAAAGTTATTCTTGTATTAATACTTTATGAAAGTTTTTTCAATAGACTTTAGTTTATGATTAATAACTATGATGCAAACCTGTGAAACTCAGAAATAAATGAAATACATGAATGAGTTTCTGGAAAATTTTGAAATCTAGGCTGTACATATTTTTTACTTAGAATTCACTAGTTTTCCCTTTTGAAGTGGATAACTGATTTTTTTAAGTCTCCCACAAACTACCTTTAAAAGACTTATGAAGTTGATAAACATAATAGGATATAAAATGGTTTATTAGTAAATGTTAAGATTAAATGAAAGAAGCAAATCCTCTTTGAAATAAGCAAATGTCAGGTTGACAATTTAAATACACAGTACCTTGCTTATGCACTCTCAGAATGGAAATTTATCTCATCTTTAAACCTTGTAATTTCCATTTTTCATATAATTAAGAAAGTCCTAGTTTATATCACTTAAATCTTGAATAGATGAGTTCTAACAAAAATTAACTTGTATCATTTTAGATTCAGATATTTAGATACAAAGGCTTAGTCTTTTATTTATAGATAAAAGGAAATCTGACCTTTTGATTAAGAAATATTTTCAGTAGCCTTTATAAATGCCTGTTCATCTGAGGGTCCATGACAGGAGTACTCTTCCCAGTTGAGTTTATCCTAAAAATGAAATGATAAGAGCCTGCTGGTTATTATCCATGATTCTTCTTAATGGGGGAACCACATGGTTATTCTTCATCTCCCACTTGTTCTCACCCTTTACTATCAACCCAGCCACACCCCACCCCCACCCCAACATTGTTCAATACTCAGCACAATGAATCATTTTCAAGTTGACTCATTGTGAACTGTATCCCAGCTGTTGGAATGTCTGGCAGACATTTTTGTTTGGGTGAAGAATAACTGGCTGAAACCCAACCTGGATGAGTTTGATATAATGGTCTTTGGCTAAAGAAATATTGAGAGGAACATGTTTATGGCCTCTGAAGCCCCTGTTATTCCTGGAGTAGGACCATCCCCTGTGGCACAGAACTGAAAGTAAGGAATCAATCTGGATTATTTTCTCACCATTGAATGAAAAATTGCCTTAGAAAAAATAGGCATTTCCAAATTATGTTTTTCTATACTTAGTGTGCCCACGTGATTGAACATATTAAAGACAATTAAGAATAATTATTTTTACTAATTCTTTTTAACAACACTGATCCAAAGGCTGAAACATTCTTTATATAATGCGGAAACATTCTTTATATAACACACATTCCAACTTATGAAGGAGTTTCAAATACTGCCCTAGGTGTGAGTTAACCAGTCATTTCAACAGAATGTTTGGTGACACAGGCTACTATGTGTTTCATAATACCAAGTCAGGTAACATTGACCAGCCCTCTTTAATTTTCCATTCTTATGCCATCTTTATAAAGGGACTTAAGAAACAAGAATATTAGTAAGCTCAGTTGTAATCATGTTTCCAGAAAATGAAAATCTTTTCTTATATTTGACCTCTTTCTAACAGGGGATATAGCAGGCTGATAAATTTTCTTGACTGTTTTGTATTTCCCATTCTCTTCTTCAAAGATTAGTTTTAAACTGGTGAGCATTACCATTGTATAAAATGAGAGTTTCAAAATTGCAAAATTTTACAAAAAAAAATTTTCAACTTATCTAGATCTGCTAAGCAAAAAATTGTCTAAGACATCATAGCATATAATCACAGTTTTCTGATCTACCACTCTGTCAGGGGCTAAAAGGAATACTCGATTTCCAGTAATTAAAGAATTTAAAAAAAAAAAACCCTATCAGATATTTGATTATTATATTTTTATAGCCAGGAGATTCTCAGTATTTTAGAACTTTTACTACTTAATAACTGGACATACTATGTTTGTAAACATATTAACCTATTGTTTTGATCTGGCAAAATGTGACATTTATTAAAATGTATTTAGCAGTATTTCAGTTCATCTCAGATTGCGTCGAGAAATAAAGGATAGGCTACTGGTCTAAATGTTAGTCATCTACCATCTTTTCTTTCCCTTTATTATTATCCCAGAGCCAAGTGGCAGCATCTGGAAAGAGAAAACAGAAGACTCCATAGCTAGCCATGTTGCTGTCTCTTAGCTGGTCCTTTCCCTGTTTCTAATATGTCACAGAGGACCTCAGCTGTTACAGGGCTGGGACCTTGTCCCAGCTGACAGACGACAGTGAGACTCTTGCCCTATACTTTATGCTGTACCATCTACTGCTTCTTAATCCTGCTGTCTGACAGATTTTCCAATGGGCATTGAATGAAGTAATTTGAAAAATAATCATGTATGAGAATAAAGGTAGTCCTGTTCCCTAATACAAGTGAAAAATAATCAATTTATGTTCTCTACCAGAACTAATCAATTTATATCTTCTACCAATTTATGTTTTCCCTTCAGTTCTTCAAATTAGAATAGCGTGACTACATGGGCCAGCATTTTCAATTAAGGGCATATTTCCATCCAGTTTTCTGCCTATAGTAGCTTTAACTTTTAAGGTATTTCTCGGTTGATAGTCTATCTCTACTACAGTTTTTCATGAGATGGCATAGTGATATTTTACAGATATTATATTATTAACATAACATTTAACGTTACTGTTTTGTTTCCATGTTTTGCAGAATAAAGCCATTATTGCCCGTGTCACAAACTTGTCAGATATAGTAATTGGTCTGGAATCATTTATTGGTTCTGAGAGAGAAACTAATCCATTGTATAAGGATTATCATGGTAAGTAGAACCTTCATAATGAGAAGAGCATGAGCAGGCTGCTTTTAGGTTACCTGGAAGCATCCTGTTCAGTCCAAATATATACAGTCAAGGAGTATAAATTTTACAATACACCTATTAAATGTTTTCCATTCCTGCCCAGTCTTCCATGGCAGCTTATTACCCAACTACATTAAGACAATAGACTATAATAACTGAAAGGAGTCAAACCCAAGTATTAAGGCATGGCTGAATCAGGTGTATATTTTGTTGTCCTAGTGTCTTAGGGTAGCCGTGTAATCAGTCATACTTACTAGCCATGTTTGAAATAAATACCGTATTCTAATAATGACAGTTTTCTAAAGCAGTTTATACTTTACAAAGCGTAGCTGTATAATAAGATACATACTGGATTATATTTACAGATTCCTAGTTAATTACATTTTCAGAAAGAGAAGATCTTTCATTATATTTGAACTTTTCTCTGTTTACTCATTTTCTTGTTAGTTTGAGTTATGAACAAATTATAAACTATTGCCACCTTGATATAAACACAGGTGAATTCATCAGACTTTCTACTTTTTTTTTTTACTTTTAGTAATATTGTAGTCATTTGGTTAATTTGGGGATTTTTTTTAATAAAGAGTCTTACGTAGAACTATATGAATAGTAAAAATGTAGTAGTTAGGTCTAAGTATTAATAGGTCTAAACCAAATATAGAATGCAGTGAATAATAGATTTTTACCTATTATTCTTAGTATATACAAATTATTGCTACCATTATTATGGAGCTACCATACTTCTATGGAAACCTCTAAAGACTGAGTAACTTCTTTGAAGCCTGCTACCAGATTTTATAAGACAAGTATTATGAGCTTATGCATTTTGTAAAATATTTTATGTTCTGAAAAATATTATTTTGATTAAAGTATTTCAAAGGTTGAAAGGCTATGATTCTTTGTGCAAAAATCTCTGAATTGATAAATTATTTTCCACACAGTAATGAGTGGTTCTAAAGACTAGTATGCTTTCTGTTAATAAGGAGGACCTGATTATGAAATTATTAATTTATTCTATAAGGTCTCTTGATAGCTAAGCAAGCACATTTAAGGTTAAAATAAGAAATGTGCAAATAAAAGTGTGGTGTGCCTATTTCTAATAGATATATTTTACTAAATAATATGTATGAGATAGTCTTAATTTGTAGCTAAAAGCTGTCTTCTTGAAACACCTTTTACATTTTTTTAAGTTTGAAAAATTGTCAGGTATTTTAGTTAATTATTTTTGAAGAGGCCATTTCTCAAGCTAAGTACCTTTAAAGGTTTAAGCTAAGACTAATAGATGCATTATTAAGCATTTAAACATACTTACAAAACCTTGTACTAGACAAGCAGTTCTATAAGTAAGATTTGTCTCTTTGTTGAAATCTATAATTTGCCTTTCCTCCCCGTGTTTTGGATCAGTGTCCTCGGGATGTTAATTTTGAAATATGGGCTGAGTCAGGCAGAAAGATGTAGTGAAGAACCTTCCATGTCTTCATCTGTGGGAAATGACCCCTAGTTTAGTCAGAAACTACATTAGGCTGCACAAAAGCCATCCAGTGCCCTTGTCAGAAAAAATTAGCAAGTGTTTCTATTGACAAGAGGCCAAAGCTCATGGTTTACCTAGCACTGTTGCAAAGCTTATAGCAGCTACATAAAGGTCTAACATGCCATAGATATGAGGGTCTTGGGATGGCATAGGGGTTAACGTTTGGTCCTAGAGTGTACCCTGAAATGTAGTTTTCTTCAATGGTTTGTTCAAGTCATTAATAAGGTACAAAATGAAATACTTTTCATGAGTGCTTCACTGGTTATCAGTAACCTATAAGCCTTGTTTTGCTGGCTGCTTAGTGGTGCATTTAATAAAATAAAGATCACTCAGTGGTGCCGTGGGCAGCATGCAAGGTGATAGCCATATTTGCTTACTGTAAATACAAGAGAAAATCACACACAAACCGGCTGTAGTTTTGACAAGTATTAAGATCCCTCTTTACATCTGTACTTCTGTACCAAAGTGCAATTAGTTTTCGTCGCACAAGGATTTTTGTTTATCTTATTCTGCTTGATTACTTGAGTATAATCACACCATTTGCTTCATTGCTCCTGGTAGTAAGCTCCAGTTTTAAAAGGGGAGGATGCTTGTGTGTAAATTTACAGGATTCTGCTGTAAGACTATTTAATTTATGCATCCGATGACAATGTTTAATTTTTTTTCTTTTAATTTCCTTTCCACAAGGCTTGATTCATATACGGCAGATTCCTCGGCTTAATAACTTGATCTGTGATGAATCAGATGTCAAAGACTTAGCTTTTAAATTAAAAAGGAAGCTGTTCACTATTGAGGTAAGAGAATTTTTATGTTTTAGTTTACAGTCTTGAGATAAAGTTATTTTTAACTTATTTTTACTCTATTTTATTTTTATTTTCACTTATTTAAAGAAATTCTTAGGACATGTTTTACGCTAAATATTATTAAGTTCTTCTGATATAACAGAATAATTTTTTAGACTATTGTTTTATTTTTACAATATATCAAGTATGGCAAAGATGATTTTCTTTTGAATATCTATTAAAAGTAAGCTCCAAACTTACATGATAAATATGATATGCATATTTCCATGGCTTTCAAAAGCATATTTAATTAAATGTTAATGAGCTGTGCTTACTTGGGTGTGGAATGTGAATGCTACCCATAATTGTCTGTGGCTAAGAGGATTCTTATCTACATTTTAAAAGTGTTTTTCTTTACTATTAGTGAAATTACCTTTCCTCGTGTGGAACTAAACAAATTATAATTTACACTAGTGTCTTTAAGTACATTTTCTAAGACACTGCAACTTTTTTTGTGACCCTTACGTAAGCAATGGTGGCAGAAAGTAGTAGGACAAAAGATTTATTTCAACTTAATCTTGCTAAAGAGCAAATGAACAGAGAACTATTAAGCAATTAGAATTGATGTATTTATTAACGAAGTAAATGCTCAGAGAGAGATGGCTTTTGGGTGATGTGATAGTTATCAGTATAGTCGGTGCAATTTTTTTTTAACAAAGACATAAAACAGCCAAGCAGCCTTGACAAACCGTTTTGTTTAATCTCTTTTCAAATGAAAAGCTCCTAAGCAGGCCACTTGTCTTAACTGCTTGAAACCATAAAAAGAGAGAATTGCCACCAATAAATTAGCATATTTTTAACTTCATCACCAAATGATGGTCAATGTGGCTTGGCACTGCTTTGGTGTTTGGGACTTCACCCTTAAGTGACCACTTTGGCCCTTTTTTGACCCTCTGCCCTCTTTAAGCTGGCCACTTGATAAGGTAACTTAATGGTTCTCTCTCTTTTTCTCTTTCCCTTCACATTTGCAAGTAGCACTAACCTATAAATCATTGTAAGGGCCCTATCCAGTGACAAATTAATGTGCCCTCCTCCTAATTAATGGTCATCAATGTCCTTAATTATCTAATCCTATTGAGAGCAGTTAATAGTTAATCAGGCAGCCAGTTCTTCAAGCAGGTCATCTCTGCAGGAGTGTTAGAAGTTTCTCATCTGGGGACACTCCCTTCAAAAGCCACTTAAAGCCAAAAGAGCGAGAGTGTAGAAATGGTGATTCTTGAGCTAATTTGCTTTAGTTCTCAAAAGAAACCATTGAAGTGGAACCCAACACTGTAATTGTTCAAACATTGTTTCAGCTTTTCTGACAGAATACTGAGTAATATACCATAATATTGCTTCAAACTTCGAGAAGGATACAGTTATAGTTTAGTGTCACAAGGAAAGCATGCTTATCATTTTCTTCTGAGTTTATATTTTTAATGGAAGACATAAGTTTTTTCTCTCCATGTGGCACCTTTTCCCCAAAATCAGTATTCTAACAACGACATCTGAGATAGCATTTCTATTACCATACAAACTAAGCAAGATGATTCCCCTGTGAAAGTAAATATTGTACCCAGAGAAGAAAGTAGTACAGTAATGTGAATCATGTTTATGATTTCTCTTTCTCTGTCTCATTGAGTCTTATTGGGAATTGAGGGAAAGAGAAAAATAAAGAACTTACATGATGTCAAGTGGGACCTCTCCTGTCAGAGAGGTCTCTCAGAGGAGAGGTCCCACTTTAGGCTCTAATAGTAACTGCACTTCACCGTCAGAGCTGATGAAAGATCTTTTATTAACCACACAGGTTTCTGTTTCATTTTCTCTCTTGTTCCCACTATGCTAAACTAAGAATCATTGTAATTGGTCAACCTGTGGTTTAGAAACAATGTTTGAAAACAAAACACAAATAGACTGTTGTTTCTTAAAATTCTGTATAATCAAACTCGGTACCTTTTTGGCTAATAACCTAATCACTTAAGGTTTTTTTGAGTTTTTTTTGTTATTTTAATATAAATGTATACATTCTAAATGACTTATTTACTTATGCCATAATATTCAATTTAGTGATTAGAAAAAATAAAAACTAAGGAATCAAACCAAATAGAAGTACATATATAGGTATAATTAGAATACAATAAAATCATGTGGTTCACCTAAAATATTTTAAATGTAGCATCATACATTCTAAAATGCATATCCAAACAGATAGTAAGTCTTGTTAATATATTAAAGAAACTAGAAACAGGAGTAGAAATGACCTGAAAGTAGCTAGTTCAAGGATTCCTTTATTGAGGGTAAAATCATTGAGCAAATGCTACTGTTTTAATATTCACAACAAATAAATATTCTTTTTAAATGTCCTGATAGTTTTTTAAAAATAAAATGTAACCTTGCTAGCCTGTAAAGTCTGAGACTAAAATAGATAGTCTATTGAATCTGAGTCTTACTTTTAGAAGTCAAAGATAGTTGAATCTGACATTGAATCAGGCATTGAATCAGAGTCTCACTTTCAGAAGTGAAAGGTAGTTTAGCAGGGAAAGCCAAAATAACATTTCCAATTCCACAGGCAAATTTGTTACGTGTTGGAATTTACTGTCAGTCACATGTCTCAAAAGGGGGCAAGGTTGGAAACATGGGGCAAAAGAAGCAGGCAAGCACTCTCATCTCTATTTTTAGGGCACCTTTTTGATTTGTTAAGTCATTGCCCTTTATATGTATGAAAACTGATTATCTTTTTACTAGCAGCTACCAAGGGCCTCTAACAGGTAGAGCAACTTTAACTCATAATCTCTAATCTCTTTGAGTGATTTGGAGAAAGCCAAGGAATATTTCTTCCTTCTCAGAGTATGTGTTGGTATTGTCCAGATTCAAGTGAAAATATTTATCTAATCAGAGTAAAAATTTTTGCTAATACCTGTAACTACAAAGCTCTATAAATTAGCCCCTCTACAAAAACTGTAGCAGAATCATATCCATACTAATTGCACTAAAATCCTGACACGCATTCTAGATAAGTAAAAGTGAAAGTTTAAACTGTGATTTCAGGTTAAAAGAAATCGCTTTCCAATTCTTTGAAAATTGATGATTCTTATAAGCAATACATAGTATGGCATATGTGATTAACCATTATATACTACTTACTCCTTGATCTTAACCAGATCAAATTTACCTAATCTTGCCTAACCTCCATTTAATCACAGCAAACATTTGTTGAGCCTTTGTTAAGTAGCAAGTACTATACTAACTTATTTATACTTTTATGTAGTGTTTAAACATTTTAAACGAAAGCTTTACTAAGATACAATCATAGATTCAATACACATAAATGGTGTGTTTTTCATCTTTATATCTAAGAATCAAGAACAGGGTTATTTACTTAATAGGTATAAAATCTTTGCTTAAATGTATATAATATAGGTAAATTATTGCACTTTTTAAAATAGTGCAAATAATACAGCTATAAATATGATATAAGCTCCACCAGTCAAGTGACCTGTACACACTGTCTTCTTAGTTATGTGTAAGATAACTTGAATACATAGCATCACTTCCAAGCTAAAATAACTGGTTAAACTTGCATTTCTTAGCTTCTGTAATTTTTACTTCTTTAATATCAGGCTATCATTAACCAATTTTTTCTTTAGTAATTATGATGTAATTATAGTACATAAACAAGTAAGATTTGGCAGAATTTGAAATGTGGCTGCATATTTGATGACATAAATGCAACATTTTCACTTGCACTTAATAATATTTTGCTATTTTGATTTTATATTTGCAGCTCGATCATATTGTAGCACATTCTAGTCATAAAATTAATATAAATGATAATAATGTATTATTACATTAGTTGAACCATCCATTAAGGTTTTCACAAAGAGAGTTTCCACTTTGGTAATGGGACAGTTTTCCAGCTCAAAGATTCAGTGTTTCTAGGTTCAAGTCAGAGAGTACAGTAACTGGATTAACATTTAAACATACAGAAGACTTACAGTATTTACTACAAATTTTCAATATAAAGATTAACACTAATTGTGTAGGCTGTAATTGGTCCAAAAAAGAGCAATTATCATAAATAGTGTTATCTTTGTGGGCCTCATAAACTAAATGAATATTGAGAGTAGAGAATGTCAAAGTAAATCTTGTTTACTCGAGGTTGTCTTATCATACTTTGTCCCTAATTCAGAATAGGACCTCAGTACCTCTCCAGTCACCAAGAACTTATTTTCAACAAAATAATTGACCAATCTAGTTTTTATTAGGTAGCTATTATTTTTGATATACTCATGTAATAGATTTATTCTCAAGTATTAAGACTAGAATAGAACTAATATAAATTAGATTATAATTATATTGCGATATAACTTGGCACTATTCAGTAGGATTATTCAATAGGATTATTATTTACATATTGGAAAAGCATAAACTCTTACAAACTAAGGAGTGCTAGTGGCTATGATAATGTGTAATAATTTGGAGTGTTTCATGATATCTTTGGTCCTAGGTTTACTTTATTCTCTATGCTTATTTTCAGCAGCCTTTCCAGTTTTTAAATGAGAAGTAGAACGTTGAATATGTTTACTGTATCTAGAGATGGGAAGAGGGATGGTTAACTTGCTTGTCAACTCACAATCATGTTACTAAAATAAAATAATGGAAATATAAATGTCTGGCTTGGGAGCCTTATTAAGTTGTAGCATCATGGGCCGTAGTCCAATATACTACAAATATTGTTTGTTATTTCAACTAACTTTTATTCCTAGATACACTGCAGCTAGCAGAAAGAAAAAAATAATCAAAGTTAAATATAGGCATCTATTCATTTAGATTAAATCACTTGTCAAAAATAAACCCAAATTAACATTTTTTAACAATAGAAATGTAATTTTTTTACATGTGTACATTTTGATATATTCATTATATTATCATTCTCATATTTATGCTTTTATTCTCAAGTGATATCAGTATAT